CAGAGAGCATGAGTGGGAGAGGGGCAGAGAGAGAGAGAGAGAGAGAGAGAGAGAGAGAGAATCCCAAGCAGGCTCTATGCTGTCGACACAGAGACTGACAAAGGACTCTATCTTAGGAACCCTGAGATCATGACCTGAGCTGAAATCAAGAGCCAGGGACCCAGAGGCCGCCACTTTAGACAGGACAGGAGCTCTCCACTCTGCCTCAGCCTTTGCCACTCCCTATCGTTTTCCCACTGAAGCTAAGTATGAGGTATCATTTATAGTGAGTGCGCACTGATATTTTTCTTAGAGTAAAATACTTCTCAGTACCAAAAGAGAGGAAGCAAGACTAAAGCATCTTCTGAGGATAGTGGGAGAGAGCCCATTTCGTGGTGGGAGAGAAGAGTTGTCTCTGTGTTGATTAGATACATAAAATATGTCTGTCTCTATTTTTCTTAAAACCCACCTGCTTTGCTTATTTACGTTTGTTCCTGGCCACTACGGATATTTGGGTTTTTGACCCGTACATAGGTACTCAAAAGCTATTTGAAGAAGGGAGGGAAGAAAAGAGAAAGGAAAAATAAGTTCAGCAGATGGTTAGGATTCCAAACTTTTTAATTCAGCTACTTAAACAGACTTTCCAATTTACCACCATTATCCAGTCCTTAAGTTTCTCCCTGAACATCTATCTCTTCTGACATTTGCGGCAGATTGGTCGAGCATGCATGTGATACTCAGATTCCGAGAGCAATTTAGCAAAACCCAGTGAGGTAGATTCATACATATGCCCTCTCTTCTTGATGACTCCACAGGCATAGAATGCGCACAACAAAAAAGTTCACTTCATTCAGGTAATTGGTTTTCAGAAGCTTAATCACAGCACTTTAAAATAGATAATGTTTGATGGATAGAACTGATAACTATTCTGTAAAATTTCCTAATAAGAGCAAATTGTTAGTCCTGTTGCAATCTGTGTTTACATATCACAAGGAGCATCTAAATAAATACTAACTTTTCTCTCTAAACACCAGTGAGATAAGAATCACCGATGTGATGCGCGTACAAAGTAGAATATTGATATTCTGTCTCACGTAAAACTGATCAAGATAACAAAACCTTACTTAAGAAGTTTCAAACATTGCTTGATAGAGCTTTTGTTTTCAAGGGAGGATTTTTAATTATCATTTCCTCCTAAATTGTCATAGCTTAGATTTACATTGTTTGAACAGGCATCCTATCTGGTTTAAAGGGAGTAGGGAATCTTTCTGAACACCTTGAGTGTTTGCTGTCCTTTAATGGCATTATTAAGTTGGAATGATAAAATGGAATGATAAAATGCAAAGTACTCCTTTCTGCCCTGAATGTGCTGTGACATCATAAAATGAAGCTCAAGTCACCTGTCTCCTTTTCCTTGCCTGGATTTAAAAGCCATTAAGTTATTGTCTTGCCTGGCCGCACCTGTCCTTTTCAAATGTGTAGAGCTACTGGGGCAGTGGTTGGTAGTGGGCTCTGTTAGGAAAAGCCTCACAGTTAATTCTGACATATGCTGTCTTTAAGACCCTCCAGTGTTCCTGTTAGGCCCACTTAAAAACAAGTGAAGGCTATACAGCGATTGGGGAGGGGTGTCTAAAGGAGGAGGGTGTGTTAGAGAATTTTACATTTGTTAACACTCGTTGTGAAAGACTTCTGTGCACTTGGAGAGAAAACAATCGGCTATGCAAGTTGCGTTTCTTTTGGACTTGAGAAAAGCCAAAAGAACCCACCACCCAATAGAAAGGACCTACAAGCAAAGTTGGAGTCCTGAGACCTGTGATTTCTTGAAAAGACTCCGTGACTTCTTGAAAAGACACTGTAAGGTTTGGGTAAGGTGGCTCTGCTGCTGAGAAAATGGAAATAAATTGCCTCTTTCCGCACCTAGAAAGCTGCCCAGAAATTCACATTTCGTTCTGTGTTAGAAAATCCAGAGCACGTAGTAGGGTTTGTTTATTCTGCCATCTGATCACAGTCCTCCAGATATTTTAACAGTCATGCTCGATTATGTTGTTGGCACAAGGACCACACAATCTTTAGTAGCTAAGGAAGTTCGTTGGCAAATAGATTCCTTGTATGTGATGTAAAAACAGGCTTATTCAGAGAACTACACGTTTACTTGTGGCTTGATGTGAGAAACTGAAGCTTTGATTATTGCTGTTTCTCTAAGCATGCTGTAATAACTGTGTCCTGTCTACAAAAACGGAGAAATATTGAATCTTTGCAGATTCTTGTTAGCTTCAACAAAGGTAGCAGCACAAGTATTTTGATCCCTCGCTTTATTTTAAGGATACTGCCAATCGGCTGCCTAGGTGGCTCAGTTGGTTAAGCATCTGACTTTGGCTCAGGGCATGATTTTTCGGTGTGTGGGTTTGAGCCTCGTGTTGGGCTCTGTGCTGACAGCTCAGAGCCTGGAGCCTGCTTCAGATTTTGTGTCTCCCTCTCTCTCTGCCCCTCCCCTGTTACAGAACCAGGCTGGATCATTGACGGAAGAACCAAGTGGCACTCCTGGAGCGGAGATCTTGGAGGATCGGAGATTTATTTACATTGATGGGCTCAGGGAAGACAGTTTCTCCAAAGATCTGAGCCCCGAGCAATTGATAATCTTACAGCTTCCGCATATGTGCCCATGGCTGAGAGAGACAAACAAGCCAAGGAAGAGGGGGAGGGAGGACTGGCCTTCGGACAAATGGAGAAGGGCTAACCTAAGAATCTCGAGTGTGCCTGCCACATTCCTTTTTTCTTTTTAGGTCAGGGTTTTGTTCCCCGCCCCCGCATCATTCGCCCACTTGATGCCTTTAAAAATCTTCCTTTTAGTAGGCGTCATCTTTCTGTCTCATCGATTGATATCCTTGAAGGGCTGAAATACACGCTGCAGTTTGGCATGTGCAGTCTTTTCAGTGAAGCACGCCAGGGTGTTTAGGATGCGTGGGCCAATGGTTACGAGCAAGGTTATGGAAAGGAGTGGTCCTGCCAGGGCAGGGAGCAAGGTGTCCAACTTGCAAAATCCCATCCTTTTCAAAGACTGTTACCCTTTTGTTGTCTGCGTTGAATTCTTTCTGTCAGTTCCCTGACTTTAGTTGTGATTATTCCTAATTGGTTTACAAAATAACAGCATTCCTCTCCTAGAAAGATGCAAGTGCCTATCTTTCCTGCAGGAAGGAGACTGAGGACTCGCCTATTTTGGAGGGCTCCTGCTGCCAGGGAGCTTATTTGATCTTGTAAGGTCACCAGGGAGTCAGCGACCCGCTCCACATCCTCATTTAGTTCCTGGGATAGCTTGTGGTATAGTCCTACAGAAGAGTCTATGCCTCCTCTCCCGGTTCCTATCCCTGTAGCAATTCCTATTTGTCTTAGGACAGGTAGCTGGACTCCTGGTTTAGCCTGGGGCTTAGGGCTAAAGGCTGCCAGGAGTTGGCCTTCAGTGTATACAGGTATCTGGGGGTGGGGGGTGGGGGGTGTAGGAAGACTAGCACATCTGAGTCCAGTTGGCCTCTAAGCATTGATAGGCTGAATTGGAGCATAGGCAGAAAACCCCGGGAGGTGAGCATAGGGTTTCATTTTTATCTATGGTTAGGTTTTTCCTGCATAGGGAGGTCCCGTCTGTATCCTCAGGGAGTATCCAAGTTAGATTAACAGCATTTGTGAGAAGGACCCCTGTAGCCAAGGGTCCAATTAAGACAGTAACATTTGTTGTGAGATTTTCAGGAGCTTCCCAGTCCCAGGGGACAAGAGTGGCTAAGTAAGCCCTTCCAGGGGAGAGGCAAACGCATCCAGCAAGTCTGGATGGTGTTGTTTATGCCATGGAGGATCTGGTAGGTGGTGTTGGCCAGCACCAGAGAGTGGGAAATCAGAAATCATTTGATTAAGGGCCAAGAGGTTTAGGCCCCGGTAGGGTGTTGGAGTGGTCGCCTTTATGGCTGTACCAGCTTGGCCTGTGTATTTTTTATAACCTTTTGAAGGGCTTTATGCTGCATTCCTCCCCCATCTGACATTCCCAACAGGGGAAGGTAAGTTAAGCAGGCTTTCTTCCCTTTTGTAAGGCCCTTGTTTTTGCAGAGTCCATCTGTTTTGATAATCTCTGTGGCCCAAAACTTAACGTGACCCAGTGTCCTGTGACTGGCAAACAAAGCCCCTCCCCACCCCAGGCTTGTAACATTTTCTATTGAGGAGGTGAGGGAGCTGAATGCTTTTGTTTTCTCTGACTTTCCTCTTGTTACCATCTTATAACAATCCTCAGGACATTGTGGGTATGCAATAATTGTGAGGGTGAGAGAGGTTAGCATCAGATCTAAGGAATACATAATAGCCCTCCCATCCAGAGGATGCAGGTGAGACCCAACATAAGCTTTTTGACCCATGTCCAATCTGTTGAGGCAACCTCTGCTAGTCCGATGGCAAGAAACAAGGCAAGAGGCAGGGGTTGACAGAGTTGCTTGAACAGGGGTGTTAAGGATGGTCCAATTAATCCATCGAATCCTCAGGGTTCAGCCAGGCTTAGACCAGCCAGCTTCTGGGACGTGGCTGGAGCAGGGCTGAAGGTCTCAGGAGTCGGAGCCTTCCAGAGGGTTAGTTTGAGCAGGTCTACTGGGTCTGGGTCAGCTCTCCAGGTCAGAGACTCCTCAGGACTGGCTCTCTTGAGACCCTGGAATGATGAACCCATGGGGTGATGCCTGAAACCTTAAGGGCGGTAAGGGTGGTTAAGATAACAATGTGTGGCCCAGTCCACTGTGGTTTAAGAGGTTTCTTTTTCCAGTCCTTGACCCAGACTGAGCCTCCTAGCAAGAAGGGATGTACTAGGGACCCTAGGAGAATTGGGGCCCTCTCTATAATATATCTTTGTAACTCATTTAGGGTGGTCTCCAGTGCCTGAAGCTGTTCACTTATTCCTTTATCCCCAACCTGATGTAAGTTTTCCTGGAAGATTTCCCAGGCATGGGGGAGGCCACCCATATATTAACTCGAAGGGGGAGAAACCTAATGTCCCAGGTGTGTGTGCAGCAAGCATACTAGAGCTAAGGGCAGTAAATCTAGCCATGGGAGGCTAGTCTCTTGACAGGAATTTGCTGAGGTTTCTCTGAGGGTGCAATTCATCTGCTCTACTTTTCCTGAGCTCTGGGGCCAGTAAGCGGTGTGAAGTCCCCAGGTAATGTTGAGAGACTTAGTCAAGGTCTGCATAATGTCCCCGCCACAAATGCGGGCCCATTGTCACTGTGACTTGTTAAGGGCAGGCCCAACCGGGGCACGATTTCCCGCAGGAGGACTTTAGCCAAGTCTTGGCTTCATTCCCTCCTGGTCGGGAAGGCTTCAACCTATCCAGAGTATGTGCACATTATCACCAGGAGGTATCTGAACCCCTTGCTTGGCCGCACGTCTGTGAAGTCTATCTCTAGACCTTCAAAGAGGGTAGCTCCTATTCTTTGGACGCCTGGCAGGGACCATGGTGCAGACTGAGCATTGTTTTTAGCACATATTATGCATTGTTCACTGGTAGCTTTGCATAGTGCTGGCTGTTGGCTGATGTAGTAGTGTTATTTGAGGAGGGCCTCTAATGCAGTCTTTCCTAGATGAGCGAGTTGGCGATACTCCTTGACTAGGTGTCCCCCTGTTGCTGATGGAACGAAGACATATCCATCTGGCATAACCATCATATCTTCTCAGGGTGGCCCCTTCTGCCACGGCCCATTTTCTTTCTTCTCCAATGTAACTGGGTGGAAGGGTTTTCACTGGAGGCATCAGGGTCCTTGCAGGCCTATCTGTGTCTTTGCCAGCTGCGGCCTTGGCTGCTTCGTCTACCAGGCGCTTTCCCCGCGCCGTGGGGTCGTCTACCTTCCAGTGTCCCTTAAAGTGGAAGATTGCTGTTTCCTTTGGAAGCCAGATGGCTTCAAGGAGTTTTAGTATTTCTTTCTTGTTTTTGATAGCTTTCCCTGCGGCAGTAAGGAACGCCCTTTCCTTATAGATGGCCCCATGTACAGGTACAGTAACAAAGGCGTATCGAGAGTCAGTGTAAATGTTCGCTCGTTTGCCTTCACTGAGGGTGAGAGCTCGGACTAAGGCGTATAGTTCAGCTCGTTGTGCTGACCACCCTTCAGGTAATGCCTTGGCTTCTAAGACTTCAGTAGTTGTGGTCACTACATAACCTTCTTTTGGGGCACCCTCCTGTAAGTAACCGCTACCGTCATTAAACAGGGTGAGCTCCGGATTTTTTATAGCTTGATCCCGTAGATCTGGGCAGCTAGCATAGACCTCATCTGTTACTTTGGAGCAGTCATGGTCGGGTTCCCCCTCTTCCGTGGGGAGGAAAGTTGCCGGGTTTAACGTCCTTACTGTTTCGAGGGTGACCCACGGGTTTTCACAGAGGAGCCCTTGGTATCATGTTAGCCAAGAGTTGGAGAGGAAGCAGTGCCCCTGTGTGTTCATGAGGGACATAACTGTGTGTGGGACCTTGACATTAAGTCCTTGCCCCAGGGTAAGTTTGTCTGCTTTCTTAATGAGTAGGACTGTGGCCTCTAGTGCCCTAAGATATAGTGGCCACCTTGTGGCAACAGGATCCAGTTTCTTTGACAGGTATGCAGCTGGCTGTCGCCAGGGTCCTACAGTCTGAGTGAGTACCCCCAGTGCTATTTTGTCTTTTTCATGTACAAAGAGATTGAAGGGCTTTTCTGTGTCTGGGCGGCCCAGAGCTGGAGCCGGCCTTAAAGCTGTCTTTATTTCTGTGAAGGCTGTTCTCGCTTCCTCAGTCCACACCGGGGGCTTTTGATCTGTTCCCCCTAATAGATCATAGAGGGGTCTCGCCACTGCTGAGAACCCAGGGATCCAGATGCGGCATAATCCTGCAGCCTCCCAGGAATTCCCGCAGGCCCTTCTTTGTTTGGGGCTGTGGCAAAGAGATGATGACCTTCTTCCTTTCCAGCCCTAGTTCTCTCTTTCCCTGGGTGAGGAGGAAACCTAAGTATGGGACCTGCTGCTGGTAGATCTGTGCCTTCTTCCATGAGACTCGGTACCCCAAGTCTGACAGGAGCTGCAGGAGGGCCTTTGTGCCTCCTGTGCAGTTTTCTTGGGTGTCGCTGGCAAGGAGGAGGTCATCTACATACTGGAGGAGGGTGCATCTCGTGGCTTCTCTTGGAAAGTCGGCAAGGTCTGCAGCCAGCGCCTCCCCGAAGAGGGTTGGTGAGTTTTTGAACCCTTGTGGAAGATGGGTCCAAGTGAGTTGCATTTGATGTCTTGTATTGGGTTCAGTCCATTCAAAAGCAAACAGTGGTTAGCTCTGGGAAACTAGGCTGAGACAGAAGGCATCCTTTTAGATCCAGGCAAGTGAACCATCTGTCTGATCCTGGAATTTGGCTGAGGAGCAAGTATGGGTTCGGAACCACTGAATGCAGAGAAATAGTTATGTTGTTGATGGCCCATAGATCTTGAACCGGTCGGTATCTTCCTCCTGGCTTCTTGACTGGCAAGAGTGGGAAATTCCAAGCTGAATGGCATTTAACTAGGATACCTGCCTCTTTCAGTTTGACCAGATGCTCTTGGATGACCATCTTAGCTTCTTGTGGAAGTGGGTACTGCCTCTGCCTCTGAGGCTGGGCTTCTGGGACGAGTTCAACAGTGATAGAGGGGCCTGATTTCGGGCTAGTCCAGGTAGGTTACCTTCAGCCCACACAGAAGGGAAGGCAAGCCTAAACTCTGGCGGGCTACAGGGTCGGGTCTGGGCACAGAATAGTCTCCATTCTTCTCTCGGTATGGTGATTGTTAACATCAGGGTCTCTTCCTGCTTTGAGTTTAATCAGAGGCTGGTGTGTCCCGTGGGCTCAAAAGTTATTCGAGCCCCAGGCTTGGAAAGTAAATCTCAGCTCAGGAGGGGAATAGGGCAATCAGGTAGGTAGAGAAACTCATGTCAGACCTTGTGGCCCCGGAGTTCACATTGTTGAGCCTGACAGAAAGGCTGTTGTACTGCCCACGTCTCAGTAGCCCCAAGGATGGTTGCAGTCTTTGGCTGAAAGAGACCACTGGGGAAGTGACGACTGAGTGCTCAGCTCCAGTGTTAACCATAAAAGTCACTGTTTGGTCCCCCACTTTCATTCTGATCGTGGGCTCGTGGGGGCCGAGAGAGAGAGCCCGGTCCCCCTCA